CTGGGCAGTGATTAGCAAACAGTAGACGGCCTGTCTGCTCTGACTGATATTTCATGATGAATTTTACGAATTAGCAGAATAATTTTAAAATATTGGAATAAGAATACTATGAATCAATCTCTAACAAAACTAAAGAAAAATGGGGATACAAAGGAAGAACCATTTTGTACCTGTATATACAAAATTGGATAGATATACAGCTACTTTCTCTTAATTCAATGAGAAGGAAGATTTGTACTAATAGTATTTGGACAGGATATCATGTCTGCATCTTGTACTATGAATAACCACAAGAAGATAGCAATATGCAATGTATTAATTGTTGAAACTGTCTTATTAATCAGTTTTGAAACTGTCTCATTGATATCTGTTTCTCAATAAAATTAATAAGTAAAAAAAGAATACTATGAATCAATACTTGTGTAATATAGGAAAGTTCCTAGCCTCAAATATTTTCTAGTTAAATAAACAAAGTAAATGAACAGCACTCAAGATACAGTATGAGAAAAAAAACCAAGAAAAGTAGAAGAAAAGAATTAATTTTAAAAAGCGAAAGTAAGTTAGATAACAAAAGATTTGTTAGATCAAAACTTACACTCTCTGTTCATAAATAAAACCTTAGAAATTTCAATCAAAGATCAGAGTGCACAGCAGGTATTTAAAAGGGGGATACAACTGTACATATGAAGACCATTCTTAATTTTAAAAAAGGACATAGTAAAAATTTCACATTTTAAATAAAAGGATAAATTAATGAGAACGTATAAATTACCAAGACTGAACAAGGTATGGAGAACACGAATATGTCAACAACAATAGAAGAAATTAGAATGATACAAAACTATATCCTTCAGAAAACACTGAGCTGCCAGGATTCATGATATGTAAGTTTTTTAAGACAAAAGAGAAGGCTGAGAAATTTGATTATATTTAGCTCAATGTCAAAATAGACAAAGATAGGATTTTTAAAAAACTATAAGCAAAAAAAGAGCATAGTTTCAAAAAAATTATAAACAGAATAAAATCCAACATTAGATTCAATACAATGTCATGGTCTTTTTTATTAAATATAATTCTACTGTAAGGTCTTGTTACCATAATAATTGGTTTTTGTTTGGTTTGGCTTTTTTTCAGAACCAAGGATTGAACTCAGACCCTTGTGCTTGCCAGGGAAGCACTTATTCTACTGAGCCATCTCCCCAGCCCCTATAATTGTAATCTATTACACTAAGTAATAGAAAGGGTAGATCTATGTGATATACTTGAAAGATGTCAGATTTTTAGATAAAAGTAACACTTATTTCTTATTAAACAACAAAGCTTCTTGCCAAGTTAGGAATGGAAACAAACTTCCTTAGCTGGTTAAATATAACAACCTGCAACCTAAAGCAAACTTACACTTTGCTCCTGTCTCACTTGGGGCAAACACCAAAGAAGCTTGTTTCCTGCTCATAGCCTCGCGCAGGGTGATTAGTTCTGGTCAGTAGTGAGCAGCCCTGCACAATCTTTGAAGGAGCTGCCACCCTTTGCCTGTCAGGTACCATTCCCTGGACTGTTACCAGCGATACCCAGCTCCAAAAAGGGGAGGAGCACAAGAGCAGGCTTGGCATGAGCCTGTCGCCAATTTCACTTGTGCTGTCCACACTGGAAAGGACTTGGTCACAGGGCTGTACCTTCTTGTGAGGAAAGCAAGAAGTGGGGCCTTGCTGTGTGCATGAAGGGAGAAGAGGGCAGCTGTCCTGGGCCTCTGCCCCGTCAGCTTCTCTCCCTAACATGATTGGCAGGTACCTTCTGCACGCACAACTCCTTCCCAGGGAGATGATCCCACACTCCATGCCATTTGTACTTTCCCCTCATTATCTAAGAACCTTGCATGTTGCACATCCCATCCCATCATATAGGGACACGGTGCTTCATGGGTTATGATTAGGAAGTGTTTCCTGCTTCTGCCCTTAAACAAGCAAGTAGTATAGCAAAAGAATTCTGCAAGAGCCGAACATAGTGGCACAAACCTGTAATCCTGGGAGGCTGAGGCAGGATTGCTATGAGTTCGAGGTCAACCTGGGATACAAACTGAATTCAAGACCAGCCTAAACTGCACAGTGAGGCTGGCTCAAACATAAGACAAAAAAAGAATGAAAAACACAAGAAAACACCTAGAACGGGCAGACTATAAAGTGCAACAAGCCACATATCAAGTCAAGACAAGCCAGAGTCCTGGTGAATCCACATCCCATCAAGACATAACTAATCACAAAGGATTGAACCAATAAATGCTGTTTCAAAGGCAGCACAGGAAACTGTTTTTCTACTAATTATCGCTATTAAATTATCTTCACGAAAATACTCTGGTGATGTAATGACTGAGTATGTCCACCGGGGATGAGTAAAATGAAACTGGTGATGCTGATGAATTTATGGAACTAAAAACTTTCTAAATTTAGTGAAAAGGATGCAAATATAAACTCAGCCTTCTAAGACAAAGATTTAATGGAACACCAGAAAAATAAAGACAGAATGTTAGTTTTCAGACCATAAATGAAAAAAGAACAATAGTATTCCACTAACCAATGAAACACCTGGGAAGGAGAAACAAGAGCATGGGAGAAAAGATGGCAAATTGAAAACACAGAATAAGACTGCAGAAATACACATTCCCATTAAATATATATATATATATATATATATATATATATATTTAAATAAAAATAAATATGAATACATGTTTTTCATACAATACAAAATATCATGTGGAAGTTTTAAAGAGCCCACTAATAACTGCAGAGCCAAAATATATCATGACTCAAAATTTAAAGTATCAAAATTAAAGTATTTCACATTGTTACATAATTCACTAGAAAGATACAATGATCATGAATTTCTATGTCAATAACCTCATTTCAAAACGTAAAAAGATTGGTGAAATTATAAAAATAAATGAGCAAATCTACATCATAATCATCTGTTAAAGTTTCCCACAAGGATACAATATGAATAAAAAGTAGACTATTTAAATAATACAATTAATGATTTTATACTAATAAAACTTATCTCTAACAAAGAATACACAGTCTGCTTATGTATCCCGGTAAAATTTGCAAAATACTAGTCCTACAAAAAGCCATAAAAGAAATTACAAATATACACACATGCACACACACACATGCACACACAACTGACCACATTATTCAAACTTTTCAAATGGAAGCCAGGTATCTAGATTTTTGAGACACTTCTACATAACTCATTGATAAGGATAATGTCCAAATTGAAATTTCTACTTATTAAGTGCTTCCTCAGCCCTAAATTTTCTACTTATTAGATGCAAATGAAAATGATATCACATCATGAAAATAGTAATGTAGAAAAAGGAGCTATACAAATACACACACAAAAAGAAAGACAGAAAAAAAAAACTATACAGAAAGAAGCTATCTAGGATGATTCTGATCAAGAACCCCAGTTTGGAATTTTGTAAAGCTTTGCAATGTTCACTTATATCCTACTATTTCAAATCTTTTCTTAAAAGGAAGTAGTGAAGCAATTAAGATTGTAAAAGAGTTATGTTTAGTGAGAAATTCCCAATGTAAAAGCAAAGCATTGTATGAAAGATCTTTGAACTAGAATAAGACAGAGAGGTGATAATTCTAATATAATTTTACCTCTAGGGGCATGTATAATCAAACTCCTCTGGCATAAGTGCTTTTCTATTACATGCTTATGTCTTATTCATTTGTGAATATTCAGTTCAGAGTATTTTGTTCTAAGATTTTATCTATGCCTAAATAAAGTTCTCATTGTGTACTATTTGTATATAAATGTTTTTATCAAATTAACAAATCAGTGACAATGGGACAAGAAAAACTGAGCTGATAACTTCATTTGAGAGGAGCAGAAAGGATCCTTTGCTCCTGAGTTCTTTAATATAAAACTTCATACTTCCTGAAAAGATATTGGAATGTACCTCTAATAGCAAAATTATACAGACATATGAAAAGGAAAAATAGATTTGTATCAAGTAGTTAGCAAAGATGAAGTTTGGAAAGTAATGTGAAATCTTGAAATGTCTAAGACTGATGGGATGTCTGAAATTATATGGTGTTCAACTGAACCCTTAATATTACCCTAAGAGAAAGGAGGTTCTAAGAATCTCCAGTGGCTTATGAACACTTCCTTCAGAAGCAGAGTTGTGAATGTTGGCATCATAAGATCTATTCTGGAATCCTAGCTTCAGTACTTATCTGCAATGTGACCTTCTGCAAGTTACATATGCTATGATGTTCATTTAAAAAGTCAAACTCAGGTATCCAGACTTTTAGGACACTTCTGTTCATTGATAAAGGTAATATCAGAACTGGAATTTCTAGTCATTTAAAAGTAAATGAATATGCAATGTGTTAATTATTGAAACTGTTCTACCAATTTGATTTGAAACTGTCTCATTGCTATTTATCAATAAAATTATGGGGGGGAAAAGTAAATGAAAACAACACCACTCCTGTCCTATACAAAATCTGTGTTGTTGACTTTCTTCAATGTCTCCTAAATAAATGGTGTTGAAAGAAAAAGAAAGTTTAGTGATGTTCTTATATTATGAAGAAAATAATATATTTGCTGTCCTCTGTTGAGGATGACCTCGTTACAGAAAAATTTCCTTCCTAATGGCAAAACGAATAAAAATGGTGATGTTAGAAAAAGTAACTACAAGGGCTGGTGAAATAGTTCAGTGGACTAAGGGTCTTTTCAGGCAAGCACAGGGACCAGGATTCTATCCCTGGTACCACATGCCCTGGGCATACTGAGCCAGCCACCAAGTCTAGGTATGCTGGTGCAAGCCTGTAATCCCAGCACTGAAGAGGTGGAAAACAGAAAGATCACTACAAGTTCAAGCCGTGTAGTGAGATCCTGTTTCAAATACATAAAAAAAAGAAAAGAAAAAGCACCTACACCATAAATAGCTGTCTAGAACACACAAATCAGCATTCACAGTGAAGACTCACCTACAGACAGTGGGAAATTTCCACGGGAGATTTTGAACTCAGTGAAGAGAATAGCATTATCATAACTGCCTGGGAGGAGATCTCAAACAGTGACTTCGGGATCAGTCAAGCTGAGGAGATCTTCATGGTCACTCAGAAGTCTCTTCTAACGTCCCAGATCTCAGGTAAACAGATCCAAGACAAAGGTGACATCAAGGGAAGCGGAAAGAGAACAGTAGTAACACTGCTTAGAGCATCGTCATGTATCTCTCATAACCTCATCTCTGCTCCTGATTGTGCTGCTTACCTGTCCTCACGTTCCCTCACCTGAAACCTAGACTTACACAGGATGCTAATGGCTCTGGCTACTATGGCCACACTGACTCTGAAAGCTGAAAGTCGAGGGTGGACATCATTGTACAACGTGTGTCTCTTTCCTTTCACAGAGTTCAGATGGAGATGTCTTACCCTTTCCTAAATCTGCAGAACATGAAGATTAGGAATTTGAAGCTAATCTATGCTTTTGAGAGAATTCAAAACAGGAAATTTGTAAACTCTTTTAAGGATCTAAAGTTTCTTTTAACTAATTGTTTAAATCATGCCTGGAATTAATTTAATAAGATCCATTTTTCCAAAACAAATCTCTATTTTAAATTAAACTCACCTAAGTTGATTTCTCATGCTTTTGAACAAAATAACATGAGTACCTAACAGCTCACAGAAAATGGTGTTGCACTGTAATCTATCATATAGAGCCATATGCATGGAAACTTTTGATCTGTTTTTCAAGAGATGTATCCTGTTTGCAAAGGCACAATAAAGCTGCATCTTAGAAACTATAGACAATAAAACTAACAATAAAAACATTATTGAATGCAAGCCAAAAAAATACTTAACAGACTACAGAATATAAATTAGCTAGCTATGTTTCAAGGACATTTTTCTTTAGAGAAATGTAGCCCACTACTTTCTTAATACACACACACACACACACACACACACACACACACACACACACCAGAAAGCCCCTAAGTGTGTTACAAACGTTCAACTCACTTGTTAGAAAAGCACATTTATCCAAAATAATGTCAAACAACTAAACATCTCTTTTTCTCTTAACATTCTATACCTTTGAGGAAACATTTTTTAGATTTTTTTATTGTAACTACTACTATAATAATTATTATTTTTTTAAAAAACTCCTTTAGATTCCAAAGGTGTTCTATTGAAAGGTAACAGGGAAATTGTCATTGTCGTTATTGAAAAATCCTCCCTAATGCAGTAAAGTTATAAGAACACAGCTGTATCTCTTCTTCAATCAGCCACAATGTTCAAACATTGGCTCCGCCCCTTGCTAGTCTGGAATTTCACCCCATCTTAGGGTAGGTTCCCTTTCCAAGGCAGCCTTGAGCAGTCTGATGCTGTCTGATTGCCTTGGGCTGATGTCACTATTGAATTGCAGTAGGAAAGAGGAGCCCTGGAAACCCTGGCTCCAGTCATAGTGCATATTCCTTCTGCTGAGGTCTTCCTCATTTATGCTTTGAGAGCCCTGCTTGGGGCTTTATAGCCCTCCCTCAGAAAGTAACTTTACCCCAAATTTACATTGAATTAAGGACACTCTAAAGCATTTTCAGTTCCTTTAATCTCATCTCTGTGTTCATCCCTTTTAGGGCAACACAGATAGTAAAACCAGACTTTCTTCCCTCAAGCTCTCTCCAAAATATTGCTGTTGGTGCTTTCCCTAACCAAGTGACCAAAGCCTGTCACTCCTCAACACCCATCCATTTCACCATGAATCCTCATGGAGTTCTTGTTACTTCCTAAATAAGGTTCTAAGCTCCTTCAGCTCCTCTCTTCTGTGCCTCTCAAGGTCTAAATTTAGGGCAGGAATCCAAGGGCCAGTACCAGGTTGACATCTTATCATATACAAAGGAAATGGCAGGCTCACATTCCACCCCAGGAGCTGATTTCAGACCCCTTGCAATTTGGGGCACTGAGAACATGAAATAGTTTGAAGTTAGCTCACTCATATACATACAGACTAATGAGGCAAAAAGCACAGAGGAAGACCTCTGTATGGGCACTTTGTACACAACAGGGGTAGCACTTCAAATCAATGTAGAAAACAGATTTTTCAATAAATGGTGTTAGCAAAGAATACTAAGGTTGGATTTTTCCTTACTCATTATGCCAAAATAAACTCCAAAATGATTAAGAAGTAAATGTGAAAAATTGAATCTAATGAAGAGCTAGAAGAAACATGGAAGAAGACTTTAGCGGAGGACCTTACCTTTCCGACTTCACCCCACCCTAGCTAGGGCTCAGAGGCTCCAGCTCCCAACACCATCAGGGGTTAGGGCTGCAGCATATGAACTTCTCTGTGCACCAGGACAGTGCGTCTGGAAAAAGAAAAAAATATGTTTCCAGGACCTACGCTTTGCTGAAATAGATGTTAAGGAATATATGCTAGGTTTTCCTGTGAAAGTTGAGGTTTCATTTTTCAGTCAGAGAATATATTGCAGAGTTTCTTTTTAATCCCCATGGCAGAAATGGTACCATCCCATCAAGTGCTTAGCAAACATATTATCCCCTTTAGAGGTCTGGCTGAGCCGCGGAGATATCACCGTGGCCTAAGCATCTGCCCAGCAAGCACTAGGACCCAGTGCGATCCCTGGTACCGCGTGCCGACCCCATGCCTAGCTGGCCGCTGAAACTGGGCATGGTGTAGCACACGCCTGTAATCCCAGCACTGGGGAGACTGAGACAGAAGGATAACTCTGGGTTTGAGCTGCTGTAGACCCTGTACCAAATAAATAAGTAAATAAATAAATAAATATAGAGGTTTGGAAAGAAAGCATTTTCTCTCTTATTGTCTCAGAGACAGAAGCTCAGGAAAGGAGAGGTGAGCAGGTACAGTCAGCTGAGTTTTGGACAAAGGACAGTTCACATAATGCTTAATTAAAATTTCCCTTAGGCTTTCTTGGCAAACTATCCAGAAGGTGGGAACACATCAGGGATCTTTTATATGCCTGACTTTATTCTCAGCTGAGTTTACCTGCGTCAGTAATACACAAAATGTTATAAAAACACTTTAGAGAATTTTCTTTTAAATACAATTAACTGTGCAAAAGGCCCCAGAGACTTTTCATTAAAGACAGTTTCCGTAAAAAGACTTACTTCAGTTCCTTTATCCCAAATTGTTTTCCACATAATTATGCCAAGCTTCACCACACTAAACTCTTCTCTACCCCCACAAGATAGCTCAGTGGTCTAAAGCGCCTGCTTAGGCAAGCTTAGGCAAGTGCAGCAACCCCGCTTCAATCCTTGGCACCACATGCCGCACCAGCCTCACCTTCAGGGTGGATTGAGCCAGCCACTAAGTAAGTAAGTAAATAAATAAATATCTCTTCTCTTCAGCATGTCACTTGTACACCTGTGTCATAGGGAAGCTGAAATGAAGACCTGAAATCAGTTAGGGCGTTTTGTCACCAGTTTTAATATGCATTCTAGTCTACGTGCTCATTGAGGTCTACAACTTTAACTATCTTGCCAAATTCCAAGACAAGGTAAACCTTAAAGGATCTCAAAACCAGTCCCTATGGTTAACGCACTCCCTTCTGACTCTGACTCTGTCTTTCTCAGCCATCTCCTTTATTTTTTCCCTAAAGTCAAACTCTTTCTTCCTTAGTTCCTTGTCGTCTGCAGCTAACTGCAAGCCGATAAGCCAACACTCCCTTACTCCAGGCCTCCTACTAGCCAGTTTATCTTCTCATCGTGAACAGGAATGGACTTTCCTGATATAGCAATGGGTCAAATTACTGAATCTCATGGGCTTTTTAAAATCCAATTTGCCTGCATCATAGAAATGCTTTAACTGACTACCCTAAAGGGAGCACCAGAAAAGGATAAGAAATCATAAAAAATGGAATTAATAAATAAGTTCTGCAAGATTGCAGGACATCTGATCAATATATAAAAATTCACTTTATTCCTACACAATACCAACATATAATCCAAAAATGAAGCTATGAAAACAATTTAATTTATAATAGCTTTAAGAGAATAAAACATTTAGTAATATAGTTTTTAAAAGAACCATAATATTGGCATTTCAAAGCACTAAGAAACCCTGGTAAGAAACCAAAAAAAGCATTAGTAAATAAAGTCAGAAGACTTACCCTGTTAATATAGCCAGAATTCCTAAATTAAGCTGCAGCTTTGATGAAAATAATCAAAATCCCATCAGCTTTCTTTGGAGAAATTGACAAACTGTCCTAAAATTCATATGTAAGAGGAGCTGAGCCAGAACAGTCCCTCATGTGAGAGAACAATGAACTGGAGGCCTGGTACTTTTTCAAAACTTACTAAACAACCACTATAATCAAGGGACCGTAGGACTGGCCTAAGAGTAGGCACACAGATCAATGGAAGAGCCTTGTAAGCCCTCACACTCATGTTAAATGTTCTTTGCCAAGAGTGCTAAAAGAACAGTGGGGAAAGAAAAGTGTTTTCAAGAAATTGTGCCACTATAATTGCATATCCAAAATGCAAAGAGAGAAGTTGAAATTCTAGATTCCAGCCTTATATACAAAAGTTTGAAAGTTACAATCTCACAATCACGGGGGGGGGGGGGGGGGATGTCCAAATGTAAAAATGAATGGCTGTGCATGGGCCGCCGGGAAATTGAAGTTGTAGGGTAAGCAGCAAAGCCAAAATCTAAAGAAATACTTGCATGCAGACAGTTGCTGAGATCCGCTTAGCCAGGGCAGAATTGCTGGAGCATGAATTGGCAGGAACACTTAAACAGCAATCTTGGGAGACTGCTGAAAGCTGCAGTGGTCTAGCAAGAGACAAGGAGCTGCCAGGAGCCTCGGCTGGATGAGAAAGCTCTGCATGTTCACATGTTCGTGAGCTTGATGTTCAGCAGCCCTGTCATATTCACACAGGGAAGAGCCAACAAACAGCTCATGACTACAGGCAGTAGGGAAAAAGTTACCCTTTGAAATTAGTCTTTTTTTTTTTCATGCGGTACTGGGGATTGAACTTAGGACCTTGTACTTGCCAGCCAAGCACTTATTCTACTGAGCTATCTCCCCAGCCCCTTGAAATTAGTCTTGAACATTTTCTGTAAGGAAGACCTAGTTTTTAGGGTAAATGCTTCACTGGAAGGAACCCACTGGCCTGCTCCAGGCCCTCTGCCTACACAGTCTTCTCTAAGTTTAGGAAGTCGGTTAATACACACTTGGGAAAGCCAAATCCCAGGCTCACTAGAAGAGCAAAATTCAGCCATAAGATTATTGAATGCTCTGCTCATAAATACTTTGCCACCACCCTACTGGTGCCATAACATAAACATAGGAAGGAAAAGGATAGATCAATACCTTACAGGGACATAGATCCTTTCAGAAATATTAGAAATAAGATCCTTTTAGAAACATTAGGAGATAAAATCTAGCAATATATAGAAAGAATTACAAAACATGACTAATGAATTATTTCAATTATGCAACCCTAAGGCAACATTTAAATCAATATAAACTGCCACATTAACTAGTCAAAGAAGAAAAATCACAACAATATCAATTAATGTAAGGCAGACACAGAGGTCAGGAGTTCGATCCCTAGGGCCTGCTATGCCAGCCCTGCCCCGGGGGTGCACTGAGATGGCGATTGAGACTGGGCATAGTAGCATATGCCTGTAATCCCAGCATTTGAGAGGTTGTAAACAGTAGGATCACTACGAGTCCAATCTATGCAGTGAGATCCTGTACACTCTGTACACCCTGTCCTAAAATACAAAAATAAATAAATAAAAAATAATAGTGTAGCAAAAGCATTTGAAAACTCCAACATATTAAGAATAGAGACAAAAAATAGAAGAGACTAATTTCTTCAATTTGATAGAGAATAAAAAAGAACTTTTCTGCTACACAGTTATACACAGGACTTCCTCTCTCACTCCAGTTCAGCATAGTAACAAAATGAATTGCTGTAATAAATGACTATAGAAAGTTTGAAAGATGTGTGACTAATACACACAAGGCTATTGCTTACCTGTACATCAACAATAAACAACTGGAATCTGAAAGGCTTAAAATATTATTTATAATAATACCCCCAAATTAAATAAATATAATAAAATATGTTGCAAGATTTATACACAAAAATCTACAAAATTCTGATGAATAAAATCAAAGCTCTAAATGCATACAGAAATATTCCATGATCATAGATTAGAATACTCAAAATTGTTAACAAATAAATTTTATA